ACATAGTAACCCTTCTTCAAAAATGACTAGAATCCGAGTCGACCTATCAGATTATGACTTCGAAATAATTTATAAGAAAGGAAAAATTAATACAAATGCCGATGCACTGTCTAGAATTAAAATAGACACAACCATTTTAAAGAAATTAATACCAACTACAGAAGATACGATGTCCGACCGCAAATTAAAAAACTTGGAAAATAATGAAGAAATAATAGATAAAATAAATAGAGCTCAAATATGTATAACTACTCGAAGTAAAATGCGCGCCGCAGCTACAACAGATACAGCTGCGAAATCAAAAATTCAAATGAATAAACAAATGGATACAAAAACCACTGAGCCTGATCAACTCTACTGTTGGGATTGTACTTCCATAAGTGACATTCGAAGAAAAAGAATACTGCAGTTTAAAATAAATAAAAAGATGAAGGATGCATTCATACATTATGACGATAAAGAAGTTATCGTGGAATTAAGCGAAATACCTCCGAAGCCGATTTCGATTATGGTTAAGCTAATATCCAAATTAGAAGAATTAAAAATAATAATGCTAGCGCTAAGCGATAATGATATAATATTCAAATCCATGGATAAAAACAAATTTAAAGAGATGATTAATACGTTGCAACGAGAGAAAAATACCGAGTATGAACAGAAATTAAAAATAATATTGTACAGGAAACCGAAAAATATTGCGGACATAACAACAAGATTTAGACTAATCGAAGAACATCATAACAATGCTCTCAGCGGACATCTAGGAGTACGTAAAACATGTACCAAACTAAAACAAAAATACAGCTGGAAAAAGATGAAACAAATGGTTCACAAATATATTAACACCTGCGAAAAATGTCAACGCAACAAACAAATACGACATACCAGAGAAGAACTTCAAGTAACCTCAACCCCAAATACAACTTTCGAAACTGTGGAAATCGACACCGTTGGACCTTTAAGACCATCTAATGGATACAGGTACATCTTAACGATGCAGTGTGAATTAAGTAGATTCATTATTGCACACCCGATAGTTAGCAAAGATGCCACAACAATTGCGAAAACTCTAGTAGAACAACTAATATTAAAATTCGGTTCTTTCAAAATATTAAAATCAGATAGAGGTACAGAGTTCCTAAATGAATTGTTAGCTAAAGTGACAGAAATCTTGGGGATAAAACAAATCTTTTCAACCCCATACCACCACGAAACAGTAGGTACCATAGAGAGGAACCATAGAGTCCTTAATGAATACTTATTAAATTTCGCTAATGATGATAATTGGGACAAATGGGTACCGTATTATACATTCGCATATAATACTGCTCCACATGTCGACACAGGTTATACACCTCATGAACTGGTATTTGGTAAATTACCAGCATTACCCAATGAAAACATAGAAAATAGACAGGGAATATTCAACTTAGATGATTATGCAAATGAATTAAAAGTACGGCTTAGATTATCAATTGAACAAGCAAGAAAATTCAGCATAGAAGCTAAAACAAAAAGGAGAGAAATATCAAAGAAAAATAGTTGGCCGATTAAATTAAAAATAGGTGACGAAGTATTAATTAAGTCACAAAACAAACGAAAAGGTACAAGCCCTTATACAGGCCCATATAAAGTAACAAATATAGAAGGTAGTAATGTCATAGTAAGTATTGGTAATGAAACAAAGACTCTTCACAAAAATAATACAAAATTATTCAAAAGAGAATAAAAGTATATAATCTTAACATTTTAAACAATTTTAAACAAAATATTACGAATTCAAAATATATTAATAAAATTATATAAATACTAATTAAAATTTATATGTATTAAGATAGAATAATAATAAAATTTCAACATTTCATATTTGCATATTTAAATATTTCATATTTATATTTTTAGATTTCTTATAAAAAAAAAAATTTTGTATAATTTCACAATATTTATATTATATTTTACAATATTTATAAAAATAAAAACAAAAAAATATTTTTTTTTAATCTACAATTAATTATCTACAATTATTACTTATGATCATGGTCAAACATTTAAAAACAAAAAATTTTTTTTAAACAAAAAAAAAAAATTTTTTTTTTTGAAGGGTGAGGGTGTAATGTCATATCAGACCATGACCACACGCAATTCAATGTGTGCAATATGATGATCTGACACTTTAACCCAAAACACTTCAAATCAATATTTATAACCCAGAAACCCAAATTGTATAGCACAATAATTTATGAGTTGGTAATTCGACTCCTTTGTTTTGTCATTTCTTTATGACAAACGTTTTAGTGCATAGCGAAGTATAATTACTTCAGCATGTGCTTGGCAATTTGGATTTCGGAATCTAGAACATATTAAAATATGTCAAGTGTTGTGCGGATCATATTGCAAGCAATTGTGCATGCAATATGATTTGCCCTTTTTTACAGTTGGTCACCATATGTGTGTCAACTATTAAGAAATGATATTGTTGACCAATGACGTAAGTATATAGAAACTAAGAATTATATTAACCAATAGAATTTAAGTAAATAGTAAAATGTAAAATAGATTATTGTAAAACCGAACTATGATCGGTATGAAAAATATAATTGTACGACAGTCTAGTTCTGAACGTTATATTGAAAAGTGTACACTAAGTTTGTTAATATGATAAATAAAATAAATAATTGAATTTGATATTAAAAATAAAAATGTGTTTGAATTTTAAATTTATGGACCTAAAACCCCACACTCTGGAGTGAAATGGTGGATCCATGTTTCATCCATCGTGATGTACCGACGCAAAAACTCCGACTTATTGCGCGTAAACATGTCCAAACATCTCTTTGAATCATCGATTCGTTGTTGTTTTTGCTCCGGTGTGAGCAAACGCGGCATCCATTTGGAAAACACCTTTTTCATACCCAAATGTTCGTGTATTATGGTGTGTACACTGCCTGCTGATATCTGTAGAATATCAGCAATCTCCCTCACTTTCACTTTACGGTCGGACATAATGATTTTCAGTGTTTTTTCGACGTTTTCCGGAATAACAGCGTCATTTGGCCGTCCAGTAGATGGAATGTCATCGGTGTCTGTACGACTACGTTTGAATTCGACATACCAATAACAAATGCTTCTTTTTGATGGAGCAGAGTCCGAATAATGTTTTTCAAGCCATTCCTGGCATTGAACAGTATTTTTTTTCATTAAAAAACAATAATAAACCAGCACACGGAATTGCTTTGAATTCATTTTTTTTTGAAAACTCAAAAGTAGCGTCACTTAAAGCACTGTAACTTGTAAACAAATGGTCGGATTAACATATGATTTTGACAGTAAGCCTAAAAAGGTTGCCACTTTCGAAAAAAAAATATTTATTTAGTATTAGTGCCGCCATCTATGTGTCAGTCACACACATTATTGAACGAAGTGTTATATTATTTATATGTATAGTTAAACTGATTTACATTAGATCTTATAATTATTTTGTATACATTATATGATATATGTTAGACATAAATACATAAACATTGATGCTTAATACGCATTAATGTTTAACTTTTGTTTTCTCCAGATAAGCTACACTTTTTGATCATCGCCTGAGCGCAAAATAAATAACAAAACAGTGTTAAATATATCAAATGGACCCAGCGCCAAAGTCTGGCTGTACCGCTTACATTCAAGGGTCACCAATACATTGTTTTACAATTCATATAACTTGCGGAAATGTCGTTCTACTTTCAGTTGTTAGCAGTTTCCCAATTGGTTTTTCGCGAATACAACAGATCTTGTTTTAAGCAACTTTCAGTAAATTTAATATAAGAGAAACAGAGGAGCAGAATCATATTCAAAAGGATTATAATATACAAGTGCCTAAATTATTATTTATTATAAAATAAAACGCAATACTTATATAATATATATAATAAAATAAATAAATAAGTAAATGCAATAAAACTACAAAGTAATTATTTACTTAATTTATTATTATTAATAATAAAAACTTTTCAATTTATTACTGTAGTTATATTTTTTTACTTATAATTCCTTCAATTTCTAAAAAATTTCGGATTACACGATTTTGTGTAAAAATTTAAATGTAAATTTGGTTTTTGTATACCAACCAACGCATAATACTACATATTTGTATAACATTTGAATAAAACGTGTATTCTGTACATGGTTACAAAAACCTCGTTACAATGTGATTAAAAACTGGTTTCATATTTATGCATTTGGTTTATAATAGCATTAACAAGAAACATAATAATAATCATTATAATAGGTAGAAAAAAAATCCAATAGCTGAACAAAAATATGATGCGAGAATTAGGTGGACACGTGCAAAAATTGAATGGGTATTTAAATACTCACTTCGCTGAAAACGGTTCTACATTATAACATTTGACATTCTAAATTCTATCAATTAACCAACTTTTTGCATGATCACGAACTGACCATTTAATTAGGCAATTGATTGTCATCGTGGATATTATTGTCTATTTCTATACAATTTAACTTTATCCTTTTTGCAAGTACAAAGTATAACTATCACTCATAAATATAAATAATATTCGTCATCACTGTCCTAACTATGAATGAATATTAGAATAATAACTACATACTTATATAAGAATTAAACAACTTTTTGCTGGTGATTTTTTGCAATAACTACTAGTTTGGGTTCTTGAGAAAAACCCATTATTCTAACTTGAAAATTATTTGTTTGCGAGTTTTCTGTAGTTTTGCTTAAAACGTATGTAAGCTCGACAAAATCTCATCTTCACTAGTCACGGACATGTTTATTATGCTTATTAATGCTGATAATATAAAAGGTTAAAATAATCAAAAGAATACAATTCTATTGGCGATAAATAGATAAAATTCTTCAATATTACTTATTTTAGTAACATTAATTTTGAAATATCACATTTCACTTTAAAGTCTTATACACAATCATTCATTTAGAAGAAAATAATGAAACTACTAATTTTCTTTCCCTTCTCGTATTATTGCATCTACAATATTAGCAATTTTGTTTTGTTGAAATGAACAAACAAACATTTATATTCACTTATTGCGATTAAAAAAACGTCATGGATTTATTGCATATATATTAGTGTAAATAAAAAAATGTTACTTACCAAATGGTATTGTGGAGTAATTGCTTTATTTATCAAGTCTGGATAAAATATGTTAAACTTATAACCTTGTACAATTTTTGGAGGAGGATTATCCATATCATAATGTGTTTGATTATATTTATTCCACTCAAATCCAGTATGCACTCTGTTGAAATATCTTGGTTTACGGGGTCGATATTTGTCAGAATTTGACTGTATTGAAGCGTTCAAAGAAGCTTCCACTGAAAATTCCTCCTCATCACTTAACATTCCTTTTCGGGCTTCAATTTCCATTTTTAATTCTTCATCAGTCATTATTTTTTCTTCATTTCGTTTTTGAATTAATACATTGCGTAGTTTTTGAATATGTTCTTTATTTTGATGTTCATGAAGTAACACCACATCATCATTGAGATCAGATAATGATAAATATTTTGGAGTATAATTACCACTTCTATACAAATGAAAACATGAATCATGTTCGCTTTTTATATCATTAACATCACTATTTTCATTTTCAAAGCTAAATGTACAATGACTAGATGTGCTATTACCTGCATGGTTATTAAACATAAATTTCGTTGTTGATAATTCTGCCTTTTCACTATATGAGTTTGTTTTTTTAAGTGTCTCAAGTTTTATCTTCAGATTTTCTTGATGACGGTCACGTAGTCGAGACCTAGCCATATGAGCTTTTAATTGAGAGTACAAACTCTCCCAGTAACTAATATCAACACCGTTATCCCGCTGATTAATTTTATTTTCAATTCTATTGCGTAACTCCAGTAGTTGAGATGTACTTTTACCACGAAATATATCTGCGACATTTTTAGTAACGCAATGGTGTATGCCCTCGCGGCGTCTGTCGCTTGTAGACTTTTCATCACTACGCTCCATCAGCTTTTTTATTTTTTGCAGTTCATCAACTACAATAGTAATCATATCGTCCCAAAAATCATTATTATTTCCCTTTTCAAGTTCAACGTATACTTTGATGTCAACAAGAAGGTCCTCTAAATCCTTAAAACTAAGTCCATTCAGTATTACGTATGGTTCATGCATTTGCATTTCAATAGCATCCTCAAGTCTAATATT